TTTCAAATTAGGATTTCCTAACTGAAAGATTCTGGGAAAGATACATAGAACTGTTTCATTCAAACCTGCAACCTGTGTTTCTCTTTCCCCACTTAGCCATTCATGTATTGGCTGACGGCAGAGGTATGTGTTTTGCTATCTTTAATTACCAGTGTTCATTTCCATCATACTTTTGTTTGTTTTTTTAAAATAATACATTCAATTGTTTCCAACCAGGAGAAACATTTAATATTCACAGTACATTTAAATAACCCTTTTAAAGCATTCTAATGTCATTTCTCCACAACTCGACTCCATGTGGCCTCAGGCCTCTGGCTAGGTGGAGCCTGGGGGAGTCAGTCTGTCAGTTGTTTGCTCCAAGACACCCCAGATGTGGCTGTTCTCCCTGCAGCTGCAGCACACCTTCTCACCTTCCTCACAGGTGCATCATCTTCCCTGCCCTCGCCCCTTCATTCTTTTGTGAGGTCCATGTTTCTGTGTGTCTGGAATCATTGTAACAAATCCCACTTGGATGCAGATTGTAAGTATGTGCTGCGGCAGCATCAGACCACCTCATCTAACTTCCATGGTGAGAGGAGGAGCTGCAGCAGCTCTGATGCCCACGGTTTTCAGCATGGGGCCGCCCACCACCACTTGTGTGGCCCTGGGGCCCTGCCAGGGAACGTTGTCTCCACTGTGGGGTGCCATGGAAAGAAAGGCTTACAGCAGGGGGACATCAGTTTTCAAGTCCGGCATGAGTGTGGGCGCAGGTTACATTATCACAGTACAAAATTAGAAGTAGTCCAAATATCAAACATTACTGGCAAAGTATTCATAAAATGATGCTGTGAAAAGCATAATAGAACATTGTATACATCATTTTTGTCAGAATTTTAAAGATGAAAAACATAGGTTTATGAACTAAAGTATTTTTTTATGAATGAGATATTTTTAAAAATAGCTCCATTGATGAAAAATTCACATATCATAGACTCCCATAGTTAAGTAGGTTTTAAAAAGAGTTGTATGTACATCATCACAGTTAGTTCTAGTGCTCCTTATCCCCTTCTGATTTCATTGTTTACTCCCTGATCCTCCTCACCCTCACCAAACCCCATTTCCGATAAACCATTGCATCAGTTATTGTCTCTATCTGTATAGCCACCCCCACTCGTTCTGTGCTTCATAAACTGAGAAACCTTACAGAAACAGCAAAAGACAAAAAATGAAACAGAAAGAAGAAAAAAAGAATAATATGAAGATAAAAAAATAAAGAGAAAAGGCCACCAGTAATATTAAAAAGCCAGAGAAGAAATTTCTATTGTGAAGCAAGCGAGAAATATTTAAGCCTAGAGTAAATTCAGATTGGGTTAAGAGGGTGGTCAACTGATCAACTATATTACACTGTAGTTTGATCCACCTTAATTAAGTTTACAACAATCTGTATTGATTGTCAGAATTTTAAAGATGAAAAACATAGGTTTATGGACTAAAGTATTTTTTTATGAATGAGATATTTTTAAAAATAGCTCCATTGATGTAAAATTCACCACCTCCCCAATTCTTCCCTCCCCCACCTACCCTCCCTCACAAACCCTTGATAAGTTATAGATTATTATTTCCATATCTTACATAGCCCTCTGCTGTCCCTCACCCACTTTTCCATTGTTCGTCCCCCTGGGAGGGGGTTATAAGTTGATCCTTGTGATCGATTCCCCCTTTCTCCTCTTACCCTCCCCTAATCCTCCTGGTGTCTCTACTCATTGTTGGCCCTGAGCATCTTATCTACCCTGGGTTCCCTGTGTTTCGGGCTCTTATCTGTAACAGTGTGCATGCTCTGGTCTAATCCAATTTGTAAGGTAGAATTGAGGTCATGATTGTGGGGGGAAGGAAGCGCCAAAGAACTAGAGGAAAATTGTGTTTTCATTGGTGCTATACTGCACCCTGACTGGTTCATCTCTTCCTTGTAATTCCTTTGTGAGGGGATGTCCAATTGTCTACAGATGGGCATTGGGTCTCCACTCCATGTCACCACCACGCCCATTCACCTTGGGTATGATTTTGTTCTGGGCCTTAGATGCCCGATACCTGATCCCATTGACACCTCATGATCCCATAGGCTGGTGTGCCTCTTCCATGTGGACTTTGTTGCTTCTCAGCTAGATGGCTGCTTGTTTACCTTCAAGCCTTTAAGACCTCAGATGCTATCTCTTTATAGCTGGGCACTGTCAGCTTTCTTCATCACATTTGCTTATGCACCCATTTTGTCTTCAGCAATTGTGTCAGGAAGGTGAGCCTCAAGTGTTCTTGTGTTAAGGGAGTATTTGAGTTGAGGCCCAATGTCCATCTGCAACCTTAATTTTTTTTAATCGTTTTATTAGGGGCTCATACAACTCTTATCACAATCCATACACACATCAATTGTGTAAAGTGCATTTGTGCAGTCATTGCCCTCATCATTCTCAAAACATTTCCTCTCCACTTAAGCCCCTGGCATTAGGTCCTCATTTT